AGCGAGACTCCGTCTCAAAAAAAATAAATAAAAATAAAAATAAAAATAAAAAATTTAAACCTCAGAAAAGGCTAAAAAGAACCACCTGAAGGCTGGACGCTGCTCTGGCCACCAGGTGTCACCTTCTGACCCTAGGGACTGTGGTGCCTGAGAGAGGCCAAGGTGAGGTCAGTGGTGCTAGGAGGGGCGTCCCCCACGAGATGTTTGCACTCAGACCGGGGTCTGCCTTGGAGTGATGGAGGGAAAAGGGTAGGGGGCACAGTGGGGGAAGCTGGGAGGAAGAGGCTGGGGGTGAGAGGACAGAGGAGCTGGGGTGGGCACCTCTCTGTCCTGTCTTCCTTCCACCACTACCTCCATCCTCCCATGGAGGCCGCCGCCGCCAGGTGGCAAACCGGTGTCCTCACCCAGCTGCGCTCAGAGCAGTGGAGTGATGTTCTAGTGCCATCTGGTGGCCAGAGTAGCATCTGCACCCAGGGCTGTCCCTGTCTGGCCGGCCTCTCCTGCCCACAGTGGGACAGCGCCAGAACCGGGCAGTGGAGGTGGTGGGGACGCCCCACTGGCTGCTGTAACAGTAATTGTGGCTGTTGTGTTCCCAGTCTGTGATTGTGTCAGATTCTCAGGGCAGTCACCTTACTCATCAGACCCCTGTCCCCTCCCCAGCCTAATGGGAGGGGTGGCAGTTCACGACCCAGCGGGGCTCCCCCTCCTCTTCCTCCTAGGCGGCCATGTCCCCAAGCACCTGCTGTTCCCCAGCCTGGAGAAACATCAGTCCAAAACATCCCCCAGGTCTGTGGGTACCACTTGAGCACCGCCTCTGGCTGTGTGTGCCCTGTGGCCACCAGATCCCCCCAGGGCAGCTCTGGCCATGTGCTCCCCACCCCAAGACCTCATTAGGCCTTTCCCAGGCCTGCCAGCCCTGAGCTTGGCTTTCTTTTCTTTCTTTCTTTTTTTTTTTTTTGAGACAGTTTCTTTCTTGTCACTCAGGCTCACTGCAGCCTCCACCTCCTGGGTTAAAGCGATTCTCCTGCCTCAGCCTCCCGAGTAGCTGGGAGTACAGGCGCCCACCACCACGGCCTGGCTAAATTTTGTATTTTCAGTAGAGACAGGGTTTCACCATGTTGAGCAAACTGATCTCAAACTCCTGACCTCAGGCGATTCGCCCGCCTCGGCCTCCCAAAGTGCTGGGATTACAGGCGTGAGCCATCACGCCCAGCTGAGCTTGGCATTTAAGACCTGTCTTTTAGGCTGGGTGCCTCCCAGGAAGAGGAGGCTGTAGTGAGCCAAGATTGGGCCACTGCACTCCAGCGTGGGTGACAGAGGGAGACTCTGTCTCAAAGAAAAAAAAAAAAAAGGAGACCAGTCTCTCCCCTCATCCATTCTCTAATCCTTCCCTGGGCCCAGCAAGGGACCTCTGGGGCTGGGGGTGTCCTCCCAGCCACCCCCCACATGGGCCCCATTAGCAGCCGCCACCCACCTGGAGCATGTGAGCTGTCCCTCTGTGTCATTGTTGTCATGATATCGTCCTCCTCTCTCTCACTCAGCGGCACCTCTCTCCTGCCCCTCTCTGTCTCCGGCAGACCCAGAGCGTCATGTATGACCTTGTATCGGAGTTGCACGCTCAGCACGAGGAGCTGGAGGCCCGTCTGGCCACGCTGGAAAGCCGCCTGGATGCGCTGGGTGCCTCTCTGCAGGCCCTGCCCGGCCTCATCGCCCAAGCCATACGCCCGCCCCCACCGCCCCTGCCTCCCCGGCCCGGCCCCGGCCCCCAAGACCAGGCAGCCCGGAGCTCCCCCTGCCGGTGGACGCCCGTGGCCCCCTCGGACTGCGGGTGACGGCCCTGCCCGCCACCAGACCCCTAAATCTTGGCCATCGTGTGGCCGCCACCTCCGGGAAGCCTTGTACAGTGGCACCTCTTGGAGTTCAAGAAGCCGACGCTGAGTCAGGCTGAGTGGACTGAGGCCTGCCCCGCCCAGACTGCCCGGGCAGAGGGCAGGGCTGGACCATGGGTGAGGGCAGGGGAGCCCGGAGCTTCCTCTGGTCACCTGGTCCCCCGACTCTCCCCAGGCCCCCGGCGGGCATGGAGCAGCCCCGGGAGGGGTCCGTGCTGGTTCTGAATAAAGCAGGACCCGCCTAGTGGCTGCCTGTGTGCGTGGCTGGGAGGCACTGGTGATGTCCCAGGAGGTAGAACCCCAGCCCCGGGTACCAAGATAAATATGGGAATCAAAAAACCTGTTCCCATCACCGGCCTAGCCTAGAACCTTAGCCTAGAAGCCCCCTCTCCCTCTGGGCTGAAGCTCAGTGAAGGACAACTCTCTAGGGACACCTGTGCCAGCCCCACCTGGTGCTGATAATGGGATCCCTCAGAGGGCGTGGCCCAGCCCTGGCCAGAAGCATCTCTCTCCTTCAACCAACCGCGCTGATGGACACCCACTGTGTGCCCGGCCTCAGCAGAGCCCATGGGGGAGGTGACCTGGGTGAGGAAGGTCTTTTGGGTTTTTGTGAGATTTGTATTGAGTACCTGCTGCCTACAGAGAATGTGATGATGTCAATTACCACACTGATTCCTCATCAGAGCTTGATCACGGTGGAATGAGGGGAAACTGAGGCCCAGAGAGGTAAATCTACCTGCTTGGGACCACACAGCGAGGAGGGATGGTGCCAGATTCGAACTGGAAATCCCCTAGGCCAAAGTAAAGAACCGGACTGGCTGGGCGAGGTGGCTCACACCTGCAATACCAGCACTTTGGGAGGATAAGGCGGGCGGATCACCTAAAGTCAGTTCAAGACCAGCCCGGGCAACATAGTGAAACCGTCTCTACTAAAAATATAAAAATTAGCTGGGTGTGGTGGTGGTGCACACCTGTAATCCCAGCTACTCGGGAGGCTGAGGCAGGAGAATCGCTTGAACCGGGGAGGTGGAGGTTGCAGTGAGAAAAAAAAAAAAAAGAACCTGGACTTGGTGAAAGGGACTCCATGGAGGAGCCATGGGGATGGCAGGAGGAGGGGGTATTTGGTGACATCCAGGGGTCAGACAGACCCTTCAGGGGAGGGTTCCAGACACAAGTAGAATCAGAAAGATCCCTGGAGGACGTGGGCTTGGGTGCTGGGAGCAGCAGGCACTTACTTGGCAGATGCTGAGCCCTGGGTGGGACAGGGAGGCCTGGCTCCTGGGGAGACCATGCTGTGCCCAGCCAAGGAGCCCCAGGTCCTGGCAGCCTCTGATAAGGCCATCCACTGCCTGGCTCAACGAGATAACTAGGCCGTTGCTGGTGCATGAATGACCAGCTTGGGCCCAAGCACGAGAAGGGTATGAGGAGTGCTGGTCAGACCAGGGTTCGAGTCCTGACTCTGCCACTGCTGGGTGACTCTGGGCAGTGGCTGCCCCTCTGGGGCCTCTGTTGTTTCATCTATAAAATGAGGGTGACAGTCTATTTAACCAGAACTCCCTAAAAAGGGCCAGGCAACTGGTAGGTGCTCAATAAATGCTCCTTCCCGCCTGAGGGATCACATCGGAGTCTTTGGCAGGACTCCTCCTTTATACCCTGTTATCTGGCTGGGGAAACTAAGGCCTGAGAAGGAAGGGGGCTGTCTTTCAGGGTGAGAACCCAGGGTTCAGTTAAGGAACATCCGTGGGTGTACCTTCTGAGCCCAGTGGTAGCTCCCAGGTCTGATGGCAGAGGCACAGTCAACCCATAGTAGTTTAAAAAAAGAAAAAAAGAAAAACACCAAAGCCATAAAGTTGTAAACAGGCC